GTAGGTTCCCAGGTGTTACTTCCAGGTCACTTGCAGGATGCTGCTCTGTGGAGGCCGGAGATTTGCAGGCATTGGGGACTGTGATGCACTGTCTGGAGGGTACAGAACAGCTGCTTGTTGTCCATTTTTAAATGTGCTGGAGCAGAGTTCTGATGGGAGAGCACTGGGCTTGGGGCAGTGCTAAGGGCTGTCCCTGTGTCTTCTGTGGAGGGGACAGTCTGCTGACCTCAAGTAATTCTTCATCCTTCAGAACAATGTAGGAAAATTAGTTTAGTGGATATTTTAGTGGATATATTAGTTTAGTGGATATATTAGTTAGTGGAAGAGGACTTTTTTCTTTTAATATTGGAAATAAGATGGAAAAAACTGCTTTCCTGTAACAGCACAGGGCCAGCTTTCTAACAAACTTTCTTCTAGTAGATTTTCGTGAGAGATTTCCTTTCGTGTTTTACTCCTTGATCCATGAGGTGAGAGGTGTGATAAGGCAGAGCATGTGAGGGGCGGCTGATAGTTCCAAATCTAGCCATTACTTCTGATCTTTGGTGACTCTGGAACTAATTAGTTTAGAATTTAAAACTGGAAAATCTTTCTACTTTTTTTCATTAAAAGGCTTTTAAAGTATTTAAGTTTGGCAGCCCGAACTGTGACATTGATTTAATCTGTTCCAAAGGTGTTTTCTAACAGAAATTACTTCTGTGAGTTTGTTTTCATGGTATCATAATCAGTATTTACAGCCTTCCTGTGTTCAGTGTTTTGCAGGAATGGGTAGATAGGGGAAATATTGCCTACAAAGGATTCTCAGTCCAAAAGAAGCCAGAGAATAGGTACATTTTTCCAGCAGTTTAATCCATAGCTGAAGACACTGCCTTGTGCTACTGCTGGGCTTGTTTTATGAGTTCAAAATAAGTTGAAGGTAAAGGCAGAGTAAAAATAACAGCAAGGGTGAAAGTAAAAATAGAGGTGGCAATGAAAAATCAGAGCTGATATATGGCAAAAGATGACTGTCAGACAGGAGTCAGCTTACAGAAGAGGACAATAGTTGTGCTACAGCACTTGGGAGCTCTCCTGTGACCTGTCAGGTACAGGGAGGGCGTTGCTAAAATGTGTGTTGGGACAGACTGACCATTGAGTATCCAGGAAGAGATCACTGAAAGGAAAAGCAGAGACCAGGCTGAATAAGAAGTAGACTTACCTGTAGAATGACTTTGTTGAGAGGTTTAACTATGTGGAAAGAAAAAACAAAGGTTGGGGAAGCAGCTGTTGTTTGATCAGAGTAAGGCAGCCGTGTAAAAATTATCAAAAGTTGCGTTGCAGAACTTGGCAATTTCAGAGGACTGGGGAAAAACAAGTTTTCCAGTGCTCAGGGGCAGAAAGAGGAAATAGTGAGAAGTGGACACGAATCCGTGACAGGAACCTGTCAGTGCAAACTGAGCACTGAGATCTGCAGGGAGCACAAGAGGAGACAGCAGTGCTCAGGTGTAGCCTGGCTGTAAGATCCTTGAGTAGTGCTTAAGAGGAGGCAGTTCCCTGACTGGTCTGTCCCCCACACCACCATAATCCTGTTTCTAGAAGCAGTCACTGCTTCAGCAGATTGTCCTGGAGCTTCGCAATCTCTGCTTTTGCTGCTGCCATTCATTCATCCATCAGTATTAACCATGTGCTCATTAGGGTGGTATATCCACAGTCGTAGAGAAGGGCCTGGCAAGAAAACTTGTCCAAGTCCCAACTGACAAATTCAGAAAGGGACAGAGAGATCTGGGCAGGCTGATGTAATGGATTGGGAGCAGCAATATTGCTTGGGAAAGAAATGAAGTAGCAATAACAGAAGACTGTATTGTATTAAGTTACTGAGGAGAACTGACCTGGGGACACAGAAGAAACCATCACGTTTTAAGGCACATCCCAGAAATGTGAACATCTGTATTTAACCCCCTCAAACAACTTCAGTTACCAGTTACCTTCAGTTACCTTGTTTTCTTCTCCAGCCACCCTGAGGACATGGCTGCCCGCTGTCACTGTTTCCTGGGCTGGCTCCATGCAGGGAGCAGAATGGGAATGTGATCTCTGGAGTTCCTCAGAAGGGCAGTGGTGCAGCTGAGAACTGGGTCACTGCTGCTGCCTACCCAGAAAGCTGGTCCAGCCTCAGAGACAAACTGCAGTGTTATCCGTGAGGAAGTGCTAGAGATGCAGACTTTGAGAGATCTGAGTGGAAAAAGAGCCTTTGCTGCCGACACCAAAGATCCCATGTGGTGCAGGGCAGGGTGTTGGTACCCCGAGGGTGTTGTGGGTTTGAGCATTGCAAATGCCCAGTACCCTTCTGCTGATCCCCATGGGTTCTCCCACGTGCTGGCATCTTGCTGTGCCCCGCTGAGTCCCACAGGCTCTGTGCTGTGTTTCCAGGTGGCAATAATGCTGGCTGACAGGTGCATCTGCCCTCAGGAGGTGAGCAGGGAGGAGCTGTAGGGCTGGGGGAGCTGAGCTGCTGTTGGGGTAGAAGAGGATTATGCTGCTGTCCCCTGGTGGGACCCCTCTGGTACTGGAGTCTGTTCTGTGCGATCATAGGTGAGCCTGGAGGAGCTCTGGCAATTGGACAACACCTTTATAATATTACAGGGGTGTGCAGAGACCTTTTTGGGGGGGTTTGCCGTTACCAGTAGGGGAGGGAAGGGTGGTAGAAATTCCTGTTCCACTCAGAAGCCAAGGGTAGAGATGTGCTGTTTTGAAGGTGACATGAGAAAAGAGAGCCCTTGAACAAACAGTCCCAGCTTACCCCCTTCTCTACCTGTTAGTCTCTTCCTGCCTTATATCAAGTTCTCTCAGGAGCTGCTCTCTTGTGTAAATCAACTGGTCTCCACCTGGAGAGGTAAAGCCTCACATCCTGTTACCTTCACTCTTCCCATAAAAAATCTTTGTTTATGTGTTTTCAGAAGGAATCTGCAGGGAGGAAAAGAAAATTATGGGATTTTCATATTTTCCCCAAAATACTTCTGCTTACATTTGTGTAGGTTTGGTCTGAGCTCAAATAGAGTTTTAGCTCCAACACTAATAAACTTTTTATTAAATGTTTTGATACTATATTTTGCCTTTCTTTATTTTCCAGGGCAGGAAAACCACCACCTGGCTTACACCTGGATGTAGTCAAAGGAGACAAACTCATTGAGGTATGGAAATTGGGTTTGATGGATTTGGTGTGTCATGTACATAGGCACCAGCAGTAGAACATTTCCCAGCATTTTCCACACTTACTCATAGGTATTTCCTTTCTCTCTTGTATTCATTATTTTCAAATCAGTTTGTTTTGCTCTGAAACTTCAGAATGAAGTGACTTTTCCCTTGCCTGTGCTTTAAAGGCAGCCTCGTGCCATGCAGGGCTTTCATCGTTTATCTCCCAATTAACTGCACTGATTGAAGGGATACAGCACTGCAGGGCTCAGCAAGCAGTGACACAATTATTGAACATCAAACCTGCCCTAGTAAGAGAGACAAAAAATAAAATGTTTGTAAGGGAGACTCCATACTTTGCAGAACCTGATTTCTTCCAAACTTCATTTTGGACCAACGTTGACATTTTCTTCCCTATAAGATACTTGCACAGGAGGTGCCAGACTGCAGCAGAAGGCACATTGTCCTAGGAACTTCAAGAGCAGGAATTGAATAACGTGGTCAAGAAATCTCAGATACAGAAGAGTAAAAGTAAAAGCTCTTCCCTTTGTACCACTTGTTTTGAGAAACCTGTCTGTTCAGTTAATTTTTTATTTTATAGTAAGGTTAACCAGGCACCCTGTATTTTGTAGGAGTGCTGCCCTGTCCTACAGTATGAAACACAGTTGGATTTTTCCTCCCACATTCAGGATCTGTGAACATCTCAGATACAGCAGGTTAATTTTATTACAGCAAAGGAATTTGTCTGTTGTGCACCACCTCATTCTCTATTTCATATTTTGTCTTATGTCACACTTAATGAATAAAGGAAAGTCTCTAACAGGGTTGACAGAGAGGACCCAAACCAGTGAATGTATTTTAGGTGCGGAGAGACTCCTAACTTGCAGTTGGCTAAAACAGAAATTTTTCTGGCCAGGAAAACTTTGCAAAGCTGAGCCAACTTTTCTGAACAAAAATTGGAAAATTAAGAAACCAGTGTTAGATCAAGATTTAGGTAGCTTAAAATCTTTGCTGGTATTTAGCGTATGCTACCACAGAAGCATGAGACAGTATTAAGTGTTCCTTCTGGTGTCTAGCAGCACAGATTTACTGTTTGGAATTTGGTTGAGTTACCAGTGTATGCTTTGCATAGGAGAGCAGATAGAGATGTCACAAATAGGTGTCTCATAAATAAACTTGTGTTTTCTCAGGCCAGAAACCTGTAAAATGAGGCTTTTCTTTATAGTCCGTTGCTGTTTTGAGAGAGTGCTCTTACTCTGGATTTAAAGACAAGAAATTGGCAAAGCCAGTCTTGACCTGAGAGATCTTCGTTCAGCATTCATTGGAAAGGAGATAGATACTGGCACACACGTACTGCACATTTAGAGCAGCTTCTTTGTCCTACAGGATGTGGCTGAGCTGGTTCATACCAGGACTCCAGGACTCTCCTTCACCAACACTGTGGCTCTCAAACCCTTTGCGTTGCGATTGTCTTGGAACCCTGGGCCGTGTTTTCGGCCTCTCCTGCTTCTGTTACGTGTTCAGAATCATGTTCGAGCTTGGAGAGCTGCAGCAGGATTGTTCCTGAGCTCAGCCTTCTCAATGCCACACACTTGCTTGTGCAGCTGCTTTGGGCCTTGCACTGTGTGTAGGTGATGGCTTCAGTCCTCTAGTCTGTGGTGGTTACCTGAAACAAGGTCCTGTGTGTGTGCATGGGAACTGTGCAGCAACTGAGCAGCACTTGGATGTGATCCACATGTTTCCCTGTTCGGTACAGCTGGCAAAGAGTTCTCCAGTTTTATCTGTCGTGGCAGGCAGCAGTAGCCAAGGAAGAGAGCTGTTAAATCCCGTGGGTTACTGAGCACTTGGTACTAACCGAGCCATCGGTGTCCCAGCCTTGTGCCGAGGCCTGAGGGTCACCCTGTGATCGCTGGGTCTGCAAAGTGCAACAGCAAAACAAGCCATGCAGTGTTTAAGCTCAGTGTGTGAAGGAAGACACTGGGTTATAGCTCAGAGGCACAGAACATTTTGGAAACATTATCTTGAAATAAAGTCAATAGAATTATTTTCTCTGATGGTGATTTGTTGCATTTCCAATTTATGAATTTGTGTCTTTGAAAAACTCTTGAAGTGCTGTCCAGTCAGGGACAGGTTTGTGTGTTCGTGTGTAACAGGTGCAAATGAAAACTTACAGGATGCTTTTGGTGTCAGTTGTGGGCAAAAATAAGAAATTGTTTGGCCAACTTTTATGATACTTGAAATCATGAGATAACTGCTTGTGGAGCTGAGCACTGTTTGTGGAGGAATGAATCAGCTTCTGAAGATCCACTTGTTCTTATCAGAGCTGTGTTAACACAGGACTTTTTTTCAAATTCACAATTAAAGGAGAAGTTAGTGCTCGTCTTTCTTACAACATGGAATCATAGAATTCCTTAGTGCAAAGGTATTGAGCATGGGAAGAGTCAGGTACTGATCTAAATGAGTAAGGAACTGTGGAATATGGGACATAAATCCAATTCTGGGAAGCTGAATCCTCAGAGAACCTAACCAGGCTTCCTCAAAAGATGGGTTGTAACAAACAGTTATGGTGTTCTCAGATCAATAGCTGGATGAAACAACTCTGATCCCAAGAGAAAATATCAGTAAGACTCATGGAACAATGGTTAAGGCTTGCAGGGAAAAGCCTCGAAAGGGCACACTGGTGTGGGGAGTGTACAGGGAGGAGGTGGATGGATCTGTTTATAGGTGGGATAAAAAAAGTCAAATAAAATTCAACCAGAAAAGATGGAGGAGACCATGTACTAATTTAAGCTCTTCATCAGTGGCTTATACTTTCTGGTTAACTCTGAGGGGTCTTGTGAAAACCAGCGTTTGTAAAGAGACAGAAAGTGATGATAAAGTGCCCAGGTCAGGGCAGAACCCAGAAGACTCGATATAGTGATTTCTCATGTTTTTAATCTTATTCAGATTATTACACTGAGGCTTTGAGGTGTGTTGCTCTGCACCAAACACAGATGGATTCAGGGGAGACGCCTGCATGTTTTACATGTCCCAGCTGGAGGAAAATCACTTACATTTTGCGTTTGCACCTCATTTGTCATGAGACCATGTAGTTGCAGGTGAATTGCCAATTAAGCTGTGATTGCTGGTTTACCAAATGACATGTGGACTCACAAAGAAAACTTTTTTTGCGGTCTAAGCCTAAATATTGGCACTCTTGTGAATTTTCTGCCAGTTTGTGTATCACTGAGGAGGTTGATGAAGTTGTTATTCTTTCTAGCTGTTTTCATGTAACTGCTTGAAATTTAATATCTTGTAGTGCTGGTTGAAATTGGCCAGAAGTTGAGAAGTTATTTGGTTTAATAGATGTCAAGAGCTGATAGATACACACACTTTGATCACCTAAATACTCTTATTTTACGAAAGCAGGACAAAATATGTGAGTCGGTAGATTTTATAAAGCATTCGCTGTCATGAACTGGTGCTCATGTACCTTGAGCTGCTGAAGAATAAGACCTTTAACTAAGGGACCAGTTAATTGTAAATCATCCTGATGTATACAAGTGTGGAGTCAGGTTGTTCAATTAATTTCTAGTGACCTAAAAGAGTGAATAAACATACAGAAATAAATTAAATGCTTATTACTGAATACCAGATGGTGAGAACTTGCAGTGTTGGGGCTGATAGATGTTCAGCAGAACACTGGAAAATCCAACCTGGAAAACAGAGCAACCTTGGGGAAAAATTGGGAAAAAACTAGTGGGGAAGTGACGTGACTGTAGCAGTGCTAAAGCCTTGAAGTTCATAGTCGGTGGGCAGGTAAATAGATGTGACTTTGCAAGGTGACCTGTAGTAGAAGCTGAGGTCCCTGATGGGATTTTTGTCCTTGCAAATAAGGCGGAGGAGTATAAATACTGTGTCTTAATTCAAGCTGTCTCCTTATTTTCTCTATGACTTGGTGGTGCCACAGAATGAGGAACTCTCGGGATGGTCGTTGCGTCAGTCTGTCTGACAGCTCAGAAAAGCCCCAGAGCAGCCACCTGGACCTACTCAGATACACTGGCTTTTGTAGCTGAGCATGTGGTTTGTACCTGGCAGAACTAAGGAGGAAACACCTGCTGACTGGAATGGTGCTGCCAGAGAGGGGGATCCTCAGCATCAGCCACCCTACTGCTGTAACCCACAGCTTCCCTGGAGCAGCTGGGACACCCATCTGACCAAAAGCACACTGAACCAGTCCACTCAAACAGGGAAAGATTAACATGGGAAAAAAAGGCTTTGCAGCCTGAAAACTTGTCTCAGATGTGTGGCAGTGAGACTGAGGAGAGGATAGAGGCGCTGGGAATGGAGGGAGGGGGAGAAATCCATGTGCTCAAGCAGACAGAATGCTAGTTCATCTCAGCCTGGTTCATGAGGTTTTCTGATGGAAAATGTATCCTCAGCATTCCTTTGATGATGCTGTTGAAACGTGTGGGCTTTGTTAAATGTTTCAAAAAGCAGGAGAAGCCTGTTAACAGATGTGTAACGCACTGCCAGCCTTTACTTTGTCCACCTGGAGCAGGAAAATATAGATTAGATGAAGTTCTTGGGAGCCAGGGAGAAGGTTCTCCACCTGCCCTGCTCAGGTACTGTAGCATTCAGGTGCAAGAAGTTCCCTCAGCAACATGGTCTGGTAATGGAAATACTGCAGGACTTTGTCAGCATGTCCCTCACTTTATAGAGATGGTTTATGGAACTTATATTAAGGTTTCTAAGATCTTGTTTGAAGAAAAGATTAGAACTAGGATGAATAAAGAAGAAATGCCTAAAAGTAATGGTTTACTTGAATAGACTAATATGGATTCCTATCACAGCACATATTCAGTATAGTTTTGCATCTTTATACCAGAGGTCTGGAAACTCCTGCAGGTCCAGTTCTGTACAGAAGTATAATTTTGATGTTGTGTATCAGACCAGAGATCACTGAGCGTGGGTTCCTGCCTTGGACAGGGCCCAAGGTCAGCAATCGAGGAACGTGTTAAAATCTTTGGGTGCAGATGTGAGAGAGAATCTCTTGTGTGAGGCAGTCTCATGATTTGAAGAGGCTGTCTTGTGTTGGCTGGTAAAGAAGGAAATAACTGGGACTCTCACACATTCATCTCTTCTGATTTTACAAAGAGCAGATTTGAGTTTCTGTATTTACCAGTACCAGACTAAACTGAAATATTGATGAGCTGTTGATGCTTCATTTTGAATTTGCTCTGTTTATTCATGTTCTTGAATTTTTTCAGGAAGATCCAAAAGATTCTAGGAGTCTAATATGCTTCTCTGTTTGACATTCTACTCAGAAACTCATCATTGATGAGAAGAAATACTATCTCTTTGGGAGAAATCCTGATCTGTGCGATTTTACCATTGACCACCAGTCTTGCTCTCGGGTCCATGCTGCCTTGGTCTATCACAAACATCTCAAGAGGGTTTTCCTCATAGATCTGAACAGCAGTAAGTAGTGTGGCATTTAACCAGACAGAAGTGCAATATTTCAGTGCTTAAACATTCTGAATCTGAGACACTTTTTCCTTTCCCACTGTTGTTTGCACTGTGTGGACAGATGGATATAATCGGAATTTGCGTCCTAGGGAAAGATGGGCAAGGGTTAGAGCAAAGGAGTGTCTGCTCCAGTCAGCTTACATCTGCCTCAGTTCTTATTTAAAACATTTCTAGATTCTTAAAGAGGCAAAAGGAGAGGAGGAAAGCGACTTGACCTTCACAATTTTAGCAAATCCTTCTCTTGGGTGGTTTCCCAAGGTCTGAAACTTGTCATGTGGTTTTTTCCACTGTCTAGACATAGACATAGTACATTGGGACCTGCAGGAATACAGAAAGTAAAGGGTGTTTGTAATTGATTTCCATGACTTTTTGAGGACTTCTGGTGTGTGTTATCTCAGTGTGTGAGATGATGGGTACAATGTACATAGCCGATGCTCTCAGCAGTCCCTCAGTGCCTTGTACCTCAGAACAGTTGTTACAGTTTTTGAGATTCTCAAACTGGAGCTGGAATACAGTGAGCCCAGTCTGGTGACTAACAGACTCTTTTGCATTTTGACACCCTCAGCACATGGCACGTTCCTGGGTCACATCCGCCTGGAAGCCCACAAACCCCAGCAGATCCCCATCGACTCCACGGTGTCATTCGGAGCCTCCACCCGTGCGTACACCCTGCGCGAGAAGCCGCAGACGCTGCCGTCGGCGGTGAAGGGGGATGAGAAGATGGGTGGTGAGGATGAGGAGCTCAAGGGGCTGCTGGGCCTGCCAGAGGAGGAGACAGAACTGGATGTGAGTACGATGGCACACTGTGCCTCAGTGGCATTGCCAGCTAGGACAGCATTCCCTGCTTGTTTGCTTAAAGTTGTGGAATCATTTAGGTTGGAAAAGACCTTTAAGATCATCAAGTCCAACCATAAATCTGACACTGCCAAGCTGCTACAACTCACCCCTGTAGGCAAGGGTTCTTGTTAATAGATCCCTTGGGGCAGGTTAGAGTGAAATGACACCGAATGACTAGTGTTTATAAATACATATATATGTAGGGTTTATTTTAGAACAGTTTGTTTGCCATGGAAAGGAGGTCTGGAGCTGTTTGGGTTATTATTATCTATAGTAATATAGCTAAATAAAAGCATAAAAATAACACTTAAGAAAATATATAAGGAAAAGCTAGAAAGGATAAGAGCAGAAAGATCTCACCACCTATGGATCCAGTGATGAAACTTGATTGTTGCAATTTTGATGTCCATTGGCTGAAGTGATGGTCACAGACTTGATCTGTCGGGGGTGGGGGAAGCTCTTGAAACACAAAATCCAATGGATTAATGTAGGCTTAGGTTTACATGGGAATGCCCAGGTAACTCCCCTGGGGGGGGATTTGTTTTACACTGTCTGTTGCAAGCCTGTGGATCTGTTGCAACACTGTGGATCATGTACAATCCTCTGGTGGAAGGCCCCAGAAAAGTGCCCAAGGGGCACTTCGGGGGTCTTTGATGGT